AAAACTAAAAAACACGCTTTTAAAGAACATCGAACTAAAAAGTTAAAAATAATTTTTAAAATAAGCGTAAAACAATAATACTAGTAATTTTGTTCATCATTATTTTAAAAATTATTTTTAACTTTTTAGTTCAATGTGCTTTAAAAGCGTGTTTAAGGGGAATCAGGGTTCGATTCCGGAGAGGGAGTCTGAGAAACGGCTACCACATCCAAGGAAAGCAGCAGGCGCGCAACGTGGAGGTAGTGACGTAAAATGACGATACGGGAATTATCCTTTGTAATCGGAATCAATACCCTATATATANCCTTTGTAATCGGAATAAATACCCTATATATCTCTTAATGAGAATAAAGCGTATTAATATATAAGTTTTAATAGTAATTAGAATATAAATATATATATTTATACATGTAAAGCGACTTAAGTACGTAAACGTATCATGCACGAGGTATAGCTGTGTTTTGTTGGCGGGCGGGGCGGGAGGCATATATGGCGTCAGCGGCGTCGGCTGTAGGGATATATAAATGAATATTAACGTATACGTATATATAAATAATAATATATATATGTATATATATATTAATATTAGCGGCGATGGTAAGAATATATAATCTTCACATAATATCGTGGCACTTTCGTTGGCGTCGACGACGCGATGTCCGGCGTGATCCTCGGGCGTCAAAAGGTTAGCAGCGTTGATGGCGACGGTGCGCAAGTGGAGATCGGTTTATTGACGTTGCCACTTTGACAACAGGAAGAATACTACGGTCATAGTAAAAATTTTACTAAATTCATTTTACTATGACTACGGTATCATTAGCGGCGGTACGTCGTCGGCCGTGCGGCACTTGCTGGACTTTGCACCGCGGCGTATAACGCGCGGTGTTGGTCAGTCAAATACTCAAAATTATACAGAAAAAAATAGTGTTTGCGCCGACTGGTGAGCGGGGTGGGGTGAATGCGTTACGACGGTCTAGTCTCAAGGTCATAGACGATGGCATACGCGACATAATAACACGTGCCGCGTGGAGTTACAAACTTACAACATACATGTGAAACTAATGTAAGCGTGTTAAAAAAAAATTGAAATAAATATAGTTTAAAAAAACTAAAAAACACGCTTTTAAAGAACATTGAACTAAAAAGTTAAAAATAATTTTTAAAATAAGCGTAAAACAATAATGAACGAAAAGTACTAGTATTATTGTGATAAAAGCGTCGGGCGCTCAATATACGAAAAATATAGCACAAAGCACCCACGCTTTTATCACAATAATACTAGTACTTTTCGTTCATTATTGTTTTACGCTTATTTTAAAAATTATTTTTAACTTTTTAGTTCGATGTTCTTTAAAAGCGTGTTTTTTAGTTTTTTTAAACTATATTTATTTTTCACTTTTTAGTTACATGTTATGATAGTAGTTACTATCAATATCATGGTTGTAACGGGTAAAGGGGAATCAGGGTTCGATTC